ACGAGCTAAGCCTGGTAACATCCCCCGGTCGGCGAACACACCTACGCGAAAAGATAAATCGCTCTCCCAAAACCCCCAATTAATTCCCGACCGTAACAGTACTTACCAAAACCAGAGAATTTTTTACATTTTGCCTGCTTACAAAACTAATGAAAAAATTCAAGAAGAAAATATCTACCATGTAAAAACAACTGTCTCCAACCTCAAAGATGAAGACTTCACAAAAGCAATTGAGGAATACAAAGAAAAGACTAAGACAAACGACAATAAATGAATTGGTGCTAATACTAAGTCTTTTTTACTATGATTTGGGCTTACAGTGTGTTATGTAATCTAGGTCTTGTTTATGTACTATTAAAAAGGAGAGATAATAACAATCATTTGTCTCTTCAATCAATTGTTGTTGTTCAACTTACTTTCTTTAAGTCTCTTCAAGTTTTCGTTTCTTTCTTGATTCATCATACATTGGCATTAATGTTCGTTTATTGGTTTTTATTTTCGTTCTTCTTGATAAATTTTGTAAGTAATTCTTTCTTTGTTTAGATATTCCTCAAGAATTTTGGTTTCATTCATTTTAAAAACATAAGGAGCAATTTTTTCTCCTTGTTCTTTCTTTAAAATACTTCGAATAGAGCTGTAATTTTTGGGTCCCATAGTGGATTTAATGTAAATTAGTTTCATATATTTTATTTCATATAGACATAATCCTATATTAAGCATATTGTAACTCAAGTAAAAGTTTATCTCAATAAGGTTGAATGTTAGTTAAATGTTGGCATAATATAAACTTAAAAATGTGCATGAGCCAGCAGTTGTGAATAATCAAAACATCAAATTAGTTAACTTTTAGCCACACCAGCCTCTCATTTATGTCACATAACAGAATGTTCACTTTGTCTGGTTTTGTTGCAGTCTGTCACCTCCCCTATGTTGGAGAAAGTAAATTACCTCTCCTCTACCTCCCCTACAGTGATGTGCATTAAACTACACCTTGACACTTCTTGTGACATACAATTACTCCTATTACTATCATTGTCACATCAGTTGTTATGTGTTAATAATTTTGAATATTGTCATATTTCTGTCTACTTGCAGTAAATTTGGCTTGATCATTGAAAACATGATATCCACATGAAAAATAGAATTTTCTGAAAAAAGAAAACCTGTCCCTTTTTGATAATAGAATGTTTGTGAATAATGCATGTTAGACTGCCAAAATTTTTAGAAACTAAAAACATATTTTTATATTGATTCTAGGGTATACTCACTTTGTTAGGGCTAACTATGCTGTCAGTGCACTGTTGGAGATATTGGACCCAAGCTTGGATATAACAGCATAGACAATGATTCCTTCTATTTAATAAAGTTTGCATTCCTAAATTGTTATAAACAACTCTGTGCACCATCACAATGAGGCTAACCAACCTCAGAACCTGCATGAGAGGGAAAACAGTCTTCATCAATATTTCTTACTTTCAGAATCCTTTTACATGAAGGATAGGGGCATGTAAATTGTAATGTTCCTGCCTCTTCCTCTGATGGTTGTGATGATCCCATTGACATTGGTGATGATGATGTCAGAAATAACAAAAACCCACCTCAAATGGTTCAATTTCCAGTTGATGTACATGCAAGGCAAAGCCTGGAAGACAATCATTTAAATCCACATTCTGCCAGAGACTCATCTTCTGTCATCGAAAGACATTGGTAGGGTTTTGCCTATAAATCTACTGTATTCCTTTGACTAAAATACCCCAGGTATGGAGGAGGGTACATGTATATACTGTTATATGGATAATTTTACTATTACTATGGGATTATTCGTTTATAATACCTGGGTATTTTACTCGATAATGTTGATTTTTTCGAAAATAGTACCCGGATCTTTTACAAAATCTGGCCTCAAAATTGCTAAAGGGTACTTTGCTCAGGGGAGTACTTTAGTCAAAGGAATATGGTAGATGTGGTGATTCTTCGGATCGACCAAAAGACCTATCTTAACAGATGTATCTTGTGTAAAGTAAATGTCTTTAAACTTTGAGTCCACTTCATGAAATTTTGATCTATCAAGAAAGAGATAATAATAAGCGATTTTTATCTGCAATCAAGTCGATTATCGATAAATCAACTGGCAATATAAGTCTATCACCACAATAGTTTTACTTACCCTTGGATATTATCAAGTCATTCACCTCTACAACGAACGTGGGACTGAATGCCTCACCTTGAAAGGTCCAGATTTGCTTGCTCGATAACCTATGACAAATCTCTTTTGGTGTGAAAGCCACATCCGGCTCTGATCTCACCATTACTAATTTTGAAACCTCCTTGGGAGGTTGTCACAACCCACCCTGTATCGTCCCAACATTCCAGTCCTCAAGTTGATATGCAATTTTTGCGACAACAGCTGGTCATTGGTGGCACGGGCACAAGCTTTTCTCGCTTTGTCTCGCTCAAAGTGGTGAACAAAGTCTTCTTTAATTTTTATAGGACGGTTTTTAAGTTGTTCACTAATGTATTCGAACTCTCGCAGACTGTAGGCACGGTCCAAGTCTAAGCTGTTCAGGTCCAAATATGACATATCAACAAGAGGCGTTTCTTAGACTTCGGCATAACCGGAGAAAGGTTATTTATTACCCGAACAATTCTCGCGAAATTAAGGTTTCGATGCGGAGATCTAAAATCACCTGAGTATGCAGAGATAATGGCTTTTACGTCACTCTGCACAGTACCTAATAAGAGTATAAGAAATTTATTGTTAGCAACGGTAATTTGATTTACTGCGATGTCTGTAGGAATAACGTAAGGAGAATTTGAGGTTTGTGACCTAAACTACAAAAGGAGATGATATAATTGTCGTATGTAAATCCCGTCACCATGTAAATCCGATTTACATGGTGACGGGATTTACATACGAAATAATCAATCGAGTAGTACGGATGATTATTTCACAGTTACCCCCCTTTACTTTGGCTGTCATTTGTTCGATCCTGAAGCTCATTGCTTCCTCTAATAAAGGAAATTCGACTTTACGATGTTTAAAACCTTGTTAGACACTCAATAAAAAGCCACTTATCCTACAATTATTGTTCACGTAACTGTGGCTAAAAAGGAGGAAATTTACATATGCCCGTCCATGGATGGGTGTGACAGTGACTATAGATTTGTGATAACTGCAGTAGTTAGAAATTAGTTATAAAAACGACCTTTGTCCTGGTTGTTTCAAACAAAAATGAATTCTACCTGATAAAAACGAAACCTGATAAAAACGAAACCTGATAATGAATAAACTTAATATATGCGCAACAAAAATTGGTAGACTTTTGTCATAAAATTTAAATTGAATGACGGCGCAAACACAAAAAGCTATCTCAAATAACAACACAAATGCAATAAGCCAGACGGTTTCCCAATACAACTCGATTGTTTGCATGGAATTAATCCTTGTCAATTATGAGCAATCCGAAAGTATTTCAACATGTCTTGATAATGATAGACAAAGTTCGTCTTCCCTCGACCAGACAGTCGAAATAATCAATCAAGATAGTAATGACGACGCACATACAAAACCATCGTCATTATTTCCCAGGTCCTCGCAAGTTCGGGATTTCCCAGGAAGTTAAAATAATTAATTTAAATTGAGTTACGATGCAAATATTAAACTGAAAGTATGCATTAAAAAAATTTCTCAACCCGTTTTTTTATTATTAATTAGGGAGGAATGGGATGGTCTCGAAAAAGATGTTATGGTTAACAACATTAGTAATATATAAAATGAGTTCAAGCATGTATTAAAGCTGAAGGAGGTCATACTATGTATTAAGTCATTATTTGTATTTATCCACCAAATTTACTTTTGCCGGTAACTGTTATTAGTTTAGGGAAGTCGTGTGATATGGTTAAGAATGACGAAAGCGATGATGATGGGTCTCGCTGTGTGCGCAAGCTTCGATTAGTCCAACAAAAGGAAACGTTCATCCGCTAATTGCTAAAGTAGTTTTTATTGGGCTGATTGCCTTAGTAATCTGTTTATTTTATTAGCAATAATATATGACTAAAGCTCGTGCAAACGGGTTGCGCACCCTTTCCTATACACGTGTTATTTGCAAAGTCTATGATGCGTACATAATTATGCTTTTCTATCTTTAATTATAAAGGAGGGGGCAAAGTTCGCTACTCTGTTGGGGGTTTTTACTACTTAATTAATACCCGGGACAATATTCAACATTTTTATTACCGATGCGCATTGAATCACAACCCCCTGTTTACGTAAATAAATAAAGTATATTAATATGGTTCTTTTGTTAATTATAATTAGAAAGAAGTGCCTTTTATATGAGATTGAATTGTAATAAAGCCACTCGAATGACAATGACACAAGTATTGTTTTAACATATTAAAATCAATCTTACCATTACTAATCGTGTATTCAACGTTATATGCCAAAGTTTAATAAAAGTGCTGTAACGCAAACGAACGAGTTTTTTCCCTCTCAGTATTAATACTAATTTATTAATTACTCGCATATTCTTTTGTTGCTCCGCATGGTAATCCTTGCTTCAATTGTAAAAAACCCTCCTTCGATCAACTTTAATTGCGGCTCGCTCAAAAGGCAATGATTACCGTGAATGCTATGATAACCCATTTTAGTAGATTTCATTAACCCTCGCATATTTCCTTTTCAGAATTACGATTAGTTAACTCTCCATTCTGTGTCACATTATTTACCTTGGGACGGATTATTAATACAGTTTTTATACACATTTTCGTCAAATGTTAATTGACATGAAACTTGTGTCAGCCTCAAATGGAACAGCCAAAAACTTTTTTTTGTAACACTGTTTCCAAATTTTGCCATACGCTGAACAATGGAAACTCCCTAATTTCTATATATACTCTCTCGACTGTCACTTCGGTCAGTACATTCTTCGCCAATTTTCATATTATATCTCACTATGAAACCTTCCGAATCCATCGCTTCAGCTTCAAGTAGCAACCTTTCAGACGACTCTACTTTGAGAGACGAGACGTCCACTATTTCCACAACACTGACCACAGCTTCCGTTAACTCTGACAACAGCGTCGATCATGATCTCGACAAGCTTATTTCTGAGAGACACTCAAAAATTACCACCACATGTCATAAAGATTCCGAGCACGATCCAGAACACCACAGCAAATTTACCACTTGGTTAGGATTATTGAAAAAGTTCATTGGCGTAAAAGATATTGTGGCAACGTAAGTCGTCTTTCAAGTAGTTTTTTCACACTCGTATTTGACATGAGCAGCATGTACATTGAATTTCCTACTCTTTCATTTTTCAGGCGTATTTCACTACCAGCACAATTGATCGAGCCTATTGGTAATTTGGAATATTGGAATTATAACGACAGACCTGATTATTTTGTATGGTGAGGAAACAAGACAATTGAAAAAGTTATATAACAAACCTATCTTGTTACATGCGCTTGGTCTTTTCAGAGACTGATTCGTCGTTCTATATGCTTACTCTGCCTTGTCGATTCTTACAGCATCGGCGATTCTGATGACCCTCTCGAAAGGATGCTCGCGGCAATTCGATGGTGGTATTCAAAGGACCTGAAGTATGTGGTAAGATTATCTTTACGATTAAACCCCCACAAAACCATTCTTTTCGCAAATCGGTTTTAATGATCAACACTAATTCTCTTTTCTAAAAATTTTCCCCACAGAAAGGAAAGTTGGTCAAACCATATAATTCCATATTAGGAGAGCAATTCTTTTGTTATTGGGATGTTACTCCACCCTCGCTTGATGACAATGGCAATCTAGCAGCATCACCCGGTGTGGCCACTTCAGATAGTCAAAGTAAACACAGAGTCACTTGCATCAATGAGCAAATTTCACATCATCCGCCCATCTCGGCATTTTATTATCACTGCGAAGAGAAAGGCATAACTGCATGTGGAGTTGATCATATTTCAGCAAGGTTTACGGGAACATGTGAGTATAATCGATTGCACGTCAAGTTTTCGTTTGTCTGCCGACATGTGTCATGTATTTATATAAAATGGTTTTTCTGTAGCCGTAAAGATTGGTCCAGGTGACCGTAATAAGGGAATATATGTGAGGCTAGAAGAACGTGATAATGAGGAATATTTGATGACACACCCGGTTGCTGCTATCCAAGGATGGTTAAAAGGGTCTTTGTATATCGTAGTCGGTGAAGCCTGTATCATAACATGTCCAAAGACCAAGTTGAAGGCTATACTGGAATATAAAGAAGAAGTAAGCAACACTTATTTTAGTGAAGTTGTGCGTGCTGAGAAGATTGATGCTAATAATTACTGTCGACAACTTTATATTTGATAGCGATGGCTTGGTAAACCAAGGTTTGCAATCGAAGGCAAAATATTCAAGTATGATCCCGAGAACGACGATGTTAAAAAATTAAAGTGTGTTGACGAAGAAGCCGTTCTCTGTGAAGTTCACGGGAGTTGGAAGGGAGAAGTACATGCAAAAATTAGACAAACTAACGTAAGTGAGACTTTCATCAAGTAATCCCATCTGTATCTCAAACTATTCGTGGCCCCTCTTGCTAAATCATATTACGTCAACATCTCAGGAAACAAGACTTATCCTCAATATGGAAGCAATTGACCCGATTCCAAAAACAGTAAAACCTATTGCTGAACAAGGACCTTTAGAGTCGCGCAACGTATGGCAAAAGGTTACCGCAGCTATTTTATCAAAAGATTACTCTCAAGCCACAAAAGAAAAACAAGTGATTGAAGAAAGACAAAGACAAAAAGCCGCTGCGGCAAAAGCAAAAAAGGAAGAATTTGAACCATCATTTTTCAAATTGCCCGTTATCGATGGACAACCTGAGCTGAAAGATGAAGGGATTCGAGTGCTTAAGCAGTTGATTGGTACCACGAATTAAAAGGTTTTGGGGAGGGGTGGGGAACATTTGGCATTTGGTAATTAATAGAACGCGCGTGTTGAATGAAGATTAATTTTGGTTAATTAGCCATTAGCGGCCCTTTTCACATTTAAAAATAATATCATCAGACTTTCGTCATAAATTATTTATCCACGTATTTAGAAGTAAAAAGCAAAGTTTATTGGGGATCCGACTTGACATTATTTATATTTAGACGACTAGACAGATGTATATGATACTTTTGTTACACATGAATATATATATGTATAAATTTCAGATATTTATATAACTTGTTTAATAATATGCGAATGATTCTCGCCCTTTTTCAACTTTTCACGATGCTTCCCATTTCTGAGACTGCTCGTCTGAATCCTCCACCTTATCAACTATTGACATTCTCATCCCATTCATATTAATTAGTACATACATTCGTGGTGAGATGGATATCGAATCGGTGGTTGTTGCGCGCAAAATGAATTCACGTGTCGTTGGATGTGGAAACGAACTATTTTTTACTATCAAAACGAAGGAATGCGAATTTTTTAGACAACAAACAGAAAACCACCTTTTTAAAAAAATTATCAGACTTGACTCTTACCTCCAGATGCAAACAGGTCATACACTGCCTCGCGTTCTTTTCCATCTCGAACTTGTGTCTCCGCCTCGGTTATTATTCTTTCTACCAAATGAAATTGTTTGGGTAACTGAAGATAAACAATAGAGATTTGATCAGTTATATATAACGATTATCTTTATCACTAGATACGAATCAAGAAACTTACTTTACGCAACAAGGATATTGCTTTGCCCATTAATTTTTCATTTTCCCGAAACTTTGCTATTATGTTAGCACAGGCAGTATTTTGTAACCTAAAAAAATTTACTCACGTAAGTAATCGTGTAACGTTAAAAAAGTAATTAATGCCTACATAGGCATCGTGATATTACTAACTCTGTTTCGGTCCAGGAAAAACGCGTTAATGCTTGAGCCAATTCTGCTAAACCTAACGTAACGGGCCTAATCTCACGTGCAATGGAATGCGAGGCTAGCGTATCATAGGCAATGAGAAACATGGTCGGCAATAACCTATAAATCATGCAAAACAAAAACTCAATATACTGGTTATGTGTTTAAAATCACAGAGCGTTGACGATGGAAAATTCTTACTGAACAAAGAGATCATCAATTAAAATTTCTTCGAGATATTTCAATGCCTACATAAATAAATCATTTTAATCAATAACAATCATAGAACCTCCTACTTTGAAAAAGTAAACCTCACCTTTTCTCCTTCATCTAAATGGTCGAAAAGCGGCTTTTGTCGACTGACTGGAACTCTGCGTGCACGCTATAATAGATAAAGATTTAAGCACATTATGTACGGGAATAGGAAACACAAGCATACGTGCTTGTACATCAATACATTATGTCATGTGAAATCGAATGGATCGGATTCTCGTTTACAACAGGTCTACGTAGAGAGCAAAGAAAGCTCTATTTACCTCCCATAAATTTTGCCAAAAGTTTCCTTCTTTTAACATCCGCGGGCTTAAGCGGCCCTTGTCTGGATCGTCCCCTCCGTCTGGGATCCAATCGCGTGGTGAATGCCACCGAACAAAATCTTCGAGAGTTGCATGCGGGTTAGCAGCTTTGAAGGCCTCCATATCTTCAAAAATCCATAACCCATTAATCCATAAATACTCACACGCACAACATTACAAATTTTAACTAAAGATCGTTATCAACTTTTGCAAAATACCTGACTTTAAACAAGAAGACTGAATTTCTGCGCGTTTTCTACTAGCAGATTCCGAGCACCCCAAATTTGCCAAGAATTCTTCCTGCTCTCTGACCATATCCTCGGTCAAAAGACCTGCCTCCTAAATGTTATAAAACAAAATTTAAGCAAGGGATTTTAAATTGCTCCTATGTCAATAAACCTATAAAACACTCACTTGTGTCTCTGGTATCCAAACTGGTTCTCCTGTCTTTTGCAAACAAACTCCTGACAACATGTACAAATGCCCTTCTCTCGCGTGTTCATCAATGACTTCACTAGAGTTCTCGTTGATGCTGATGCTCCCGTTCGATCCCGGTTTACTACTCCCGTAGCCACAGTCAAATCCCGGAATCGACTCTGAACTGGACGAGTAACTCAGTTGAACAAAAGAATCGGTTAATAGAGAATTTGGATTGGGATCGGAATGCTCCGAGAACGACGAAGGCGTTGGTGAAAAAGCATTTCCATTCCCGTTTCCGTTTCCGTTCCCAATCGCTGGAGAACTATTCGTTAGTTGAAGTTGAGCAGCGGACCGATTGTTTTGATAATCCAACGCCCCGGTAACTTCAACGTCGTTGATCATTTCTTTCTCGATAAATATCAAATCATTTATGGTCGGCGACTGGGTTGGCTGATGGAAAATATGTGCTAAGTTACTTTGATACCCGCGTTTCTTATTTACTAAAATATATAATGGATTTTTATACCCAGCTTACATTGGCATGTTTATCCATTCGACTTGGTACTGGGAAGACTGCGGATGACGGAGAGCTAGTAACCGAAGCGCTATTGGAGAAGATGTCCGAGTTATTACCGACAAGGATTACCGAAGCCGACGGGTCAATTGACGGCAAGTCATCCGTGGATATACTGTTGAAGGAATTAATGAGTACAGCATCAACATTTTCACTTTCAAATGTTTTCGACACGTTTTCAGATGATGGTATTTTGGGGTTTAAAATGTTTGTAAAGGATGAATTTAAAGAGCTGCTGGAGGGAATTCTTTGGCGAAGTGAGTGTGAGCTTGTAGATAATGGGGTACCATCCCGTTGCGTTTTTGGTAAGCGTTCAATACAGCAATTGATCATGCAGAGCTTTTGATGAACAATATTAAAACGAAGATCGATTCCTATCCGTTTTCGATCGTTGTGTTCAGTTGACGACTTGTGCAGGCCGTTCCGCTCTACATTATCTAACATGCGGTATATGTCAACGTTGGGTATCGTTTCTCTCCGTTCCCAACACTGTTTAATACGCTTCAATACCTCATTCCATATAATCTTTAATGATCCCATCAAGGAGGAATGGCTATTGGTTGCAGGAGAAACTGACTCCAACAGGTATTCTAGCAAGTTCCATAAGAGCGACTTGGAGGGTACTATCGTACCATGTCTGAAATTAAGATCGAGCGTAGTCGCATTCATGAACGTTATACCATTCGGCAAAATTGTGGGTTCCGTGGCAGTTTCTGGAGCCAATCCACTATTTCTGTATGGATCAAATAAAGCATGCATTACGTTATCAATGTCCACCATATCGACTATTGTAAGTGCAACTGATCCCTGCGGTTCCTGCTGCTCAGCAAAGGATTTCTTGGCGCCGTTGAATTTATTGTTGCGAACGAAATCTGGTCGGGGTAATCTATGGTAAATCGGCATACTTGCCGACACGGTGTTTGAAGTGTCTCTTAACCAAGATTGAATAGCTTCTTGGAGAATATTAGCAAGCTGTGCATATGGCGTCTCTTCAGTTGCAAACTTGCAAGTCAATGACCATATTGGTGCGCGCACGGCATCCATTTCCGTATATACATCATCATCCGTATACGCTTCGTGTGGCGCAGATGGAAATAATACAGTGAGTGTTAACGATATTAAAGGATCTTTTACTGGGCCAAATGGTAACTTGAATAGACAGGTCGTGGTACGAGTATACCCGGCGTTCTGAGACGTCTCTTGGTAGTCGACATTTCCTGTCGCATATGACGCTACATCAGCCTGCTCAAACCCGTCCAAGAACAGATCCTCGTCAAATGCAGCATTACTTCTTGAGCTTATAGTGTCACAGTCTTCACCTAACCTTCGCCAGTCTTCATCATCCAAATTTACCAGTTCGTAAGTAAATAAAGCCGATACATTTATCTTAAGTTTTGGTATTGTGTTTTCGCTCTCGTTTTCTCTCTCTTCTGTTAGCCGTATCCGATTGAAAATGATAGGTGTGTCAGAGTTCTGGACGGAGTTACTGTCACCATGAATTACTTGAGCTCTAGGTATATCTAGCTCTGGCTGCGAATGTAAATAAGAATAATACAAAACTTACCGTGCAAACGTTGATGTAACTTTAATTTCTCCGAGAATAGAGAAGTCAACCCTGACAAATGAGTATGAGCTGGTTGGACGTCACGGACTTGTAACATATGAAATCGAAACTTCATAAATTGTTCGTTGCTCAAATCTTGCGGAAATAAACATAAATGACCCTCGTATAAAGAATTCGAAAGTTGTCCGGTTGGAACAAACACTGGCAGATTGCATTTTATATTCTTAAATGCGATAACAAAAGACTCCAAGACACGCTCTGTAGTACTTCGATCTATAGAGCTTGTATTATAAATATCGGATCTAGTTGTTGGTGTGATGACTAGAAGATGTCGCCATCCGGTCCATCGATGTAGATTGTGAAATTCTATCTGTGCGCCCAACGAGCAAGTTGGAAGTGATAAAGGAAGAAATTCAGGAGTCTTACAAGGTTGATTTGCCGACGTATATTCCGAAGACTCCCGAGATGCAGTGTTTTCATCCAGCCATTTGCTACCGGGATGGCAGTGGTAGGACAGCGTGTAAGAATTATCGTCGAGTATGATTGTCTCTTTTCTGATATATGGATCGATAACTTTAAAGTCAATTTCCCGTAGCAAATGTAATTTAGAGTCATCAAATATTCCAAAAGACCCATCGGAGACTTCCCAGGCTCTTAATACCTCTTCCACCATAGTCACAAAACGATCCCAATAAGAGGTAGACGTATATTCTACAATCTCAAAGCGCTCCTCATCCATCGACGATACCTGAAGCCCTGATGATGGCCCCGCTCTTCTAGTATTAAACATCATTATGAGCGTTAAAAGAAAGAAAGATCATGACTAAAAATACTGTGATCGGAATGCGGTAAAAAACTGGCAAATTTTTTGAAATTTGTCCTTGCATAGTCGTAGCCAATCGGACTCGTTACATTGATAGCTGCGGTATTACGTCATCAGGTATACGTGGCACATTCCAAGTCCACGAATTTACGCACGGCCGCAGCCGGTCAAGATGCATGTTTTTAATGTATCTGAGATTAAAATTCACAAAAGATCGAGATCAGGGAATAACAAAATCTCACCAGAAGCACTGGGGAAAAAAAAAAAAGTACCTGATGTTACACGACACCACATTGACATTTTTTATATGATTACAGTTAGTTGGAACTATGCTTTCTTCAACTTGTTACGCTAGAGAACGATACAAAGAGTGGTTATTTGGAGAATCTCAATTTTATTAGCACCACTAGCTTGACAATGAAGCCTTCGTATGAATAAGTGTTTTATTTTGACAGTTAACGGTAAGTATTGATATAGTGACAATAGACATTGCCTTCAATTGCTGATTCGACGTTCATGCGGCTAATCGACATGTTAGTCGTAAATACACAGTCAGTATCTAAAATCATCATCGCATACTCCATTATGCGGATGCAGTAACATGATCTGAAAAGTTTTTCCAATATGTTATGAATTCGCGTCTCAATAATGCGTTGAGTAGTATAACATTAACATTAACATTAACATTAATTCAGTGCCAATGTTTCATTTAAACTCATTCAGAAAACAAGTATAAGAATTCCCCGAAAAGACCGTCGAAATTTATCGCTCCTTTTATAATTAATACACTCTGCGACTGAGAATTATTGTTCTCTCAACTCTTTTAAGCACTCGGTTTATTATATGTTTTCAAGAACGTAATAAATCACTCTGAAATGTTATGTTTCAGCGTAATCATACAGTGGATGCATTAGAAGCACGAATGACCTTATTGGTTAATCGTTTCATAAGCGCCCATCATAAGATCATTGTTACAGGTTTAAGCATAAACAAAAGCAACCAAATAAAGTGCAATGTCATTAGTGTTTATTAAATACCAATATTAATTGTTGATAAAATTCATATTCGTAAAGAATACGTAACTATTTGCCGAGAAGGTTAAAGTACTAACATTCTTGTTATTTTTCGAATTAAAAATTTAACTTTCTTTTGCATTTGCTATATTTGCCTCTTTTAAGTCTGGACTATTTTCTTCATACTGACGATTTGACTGTATGTGATCAATAATATCAACTTCTCGTGTCGAATGCAATAATTTGTTATAACTATAATAGTGGCGCATTCGCAAGAATTGTTGTAAAAACACATGAGAAGATATTATTGTCTTGTATAAGACAAAGAATGTCTCATCGAACTTAACAAATATACGGAAATAATAGAAAATATGGCAGTATGACTGTGTGGATTCAAAGCGGTTATATAATAAACAAAATGATGGAATTATGTCGACAGCTCGAGAGAACAAGAATGCCAATGTTGTTTTTCAATCAACGGAGAGATGGAAAGATAACTTTATTCAAAAACTATGTCGATTTAACCCGGCAAACAATTGGAGTAAGGAAAAGTGCAACATAGTTCGCTTGGTTTAAACCCAGTCTTAGTTGACACTAATCTGACTAAATTCCCCGGTTGCGAAAGTATTGCTCTCCAATGTAAGTGCAACACTTGAAGTGTTAAATAACCTGCCCATACTGTAGTGGTTGAATGAATAGCCCAAATTCAAAAATGTGCTAAATTTAAACGTGTTTAATATTAAATTGTCACCGATCGTCAAGCCACTTCCTCCGCCATAAATACTGCGCTTCTGTTATCTTTTTCTCACTCTTTTCCAAACAACGGCATGTCGGGAATAAACGGTTCTTGGGACTCGTTCAGAGAAGCATTAGATAGCGATGATGAATTTGAAAGAGATGAATTAGCACAAGTATGCTGGATTCGTTCATATCAAATACTTGGTTGTGCTTATCATCGAATTTTTAACGCGTAATCTGTCACTAAACTCGGCGCGCTTTACAACCTTCTACCAGCAAGTTGCCACGAACAGAGATGCTATAGTATTCCTGATTGACTATTCTCCCTCGACTATGAAAGCCACCACTGACACTAACGAACCATTCGTCAAAGCGGTGTTTTCCTGTGTTCAGACTGTCATGCTGCGGAGAATAATGGATAGAACTAATGACTTAATTGGAGTCGTGGTATATGGAACTGTAAGTTGTATTGAACGAATAACATGCTCTAAAGTAGTGCTTTGTAAATGCATGTCCTCATTTTCTGTGTTCTATGTTCTACTAGGAGGGACATGAGAATGCATTGGACTATGATAACATCACTGTTGTCGAAAGTCTCAACCCGTTAGATTTACCCGCAATACAGAAAATAAAACCGTTAGCAAAGAGTGAGTTAATACAAGCGAATTTGTAAATGTTAACACAAGTACTCGTTCATATTTGTATGACTACCTGAATGGCGTTTTAATTCGTTCATAAAAACTTGTTCGTACCTAACAGGCGTCAGTGATGGCGGAGTCGATTTACAGCAACAGTTTGGTACTCCTTCGACAAATTATGAACTTGCAAATGCGTTCTTAGTATGCAATAACTTATTTGAACAGATGTGAATATTATATCCATGTTTAATGTCTTTGTTATTTGGTTTATTTTGATTTCATTGAACAATTAACGCATGATTCTCCTAAATTCAGAGAGAAAAAAGTTTTGAAGCGCAAACGCGTCTTTCTAGTTACTGATGAAGACAACCCCCATGGCCTTGATGGTCCTCGAAGGAGTGCTGCCCTTACAAGAGCAAGGGTGAGTTATGTTCAAATGACTATTCTTTCATACGTGGAGTCTTATCTTCTTGTTTGTAGGATCTGCAAGAACGTGGGGTCGAGTTACATTTGTTCAGTGTCAGTAGGGATAGCGAACCTTTCAATTTCGAAGCATTTTACGCCGTGAGTATTATATACATGACAAGCATTTTGTTTGTATGGAACTTTGGCAATACAACCTGATTCTCAATACATTATTAGGAACTGATTGGAGTTGACAAATACAAGCATATTGAAACACGAAGAAATTTTGAAGTGTTCCTTGCCGAAATACTGAAAAGAGAATCTCCTCGTCGAGCAACATTTAGTACACTTTTCCGGTTGTTCGGGGATGATGCAAGACTTAATTTTGGTGTCAAAGGGTAAGAATTTGAACACTATGCTTTTTGGATTAAATAAAAGAAATTGACTGATAAATCTCGAGTTAAGATATCCGCTAGCTTTGATTCGTAAAAGACCTGGTCACACTTGGGCTTATGCTATGGGAGGTGAAAATAAGCCGGTACAAGGCCGAGCTACCTATATATGTTCTGTGAGTAAGTGTGTCATGTACTTGTAGGGAACAAGTCCTGATGAATGTGACAAACTTATAAAGGCTCTTGATAGGATACCAATGAACCGCTAATGGAAGAAGATATGAAAGGATATTTGTTGTACGGCGGGGAGAAGGTAATATTGTTTCCGTGTTTATAGAAAATGATAATGAAGAAATAGTAACCCATAGTTTTTTTTCCTCGTAGATCGTTTTCACCACTGAAGAACAAAAAGCTCTTAAGAGTGTTGGAGATATTGGTAAATGATTAGTAAATGCAAAGTCTGGACAACATTAATAAATATTTGGTATTAAGACGCGTACTTTTGAAATAGGATTTACGTTAATAGGATTTAAACCTGAAGATAAGTACAAGTTGTACTATAATTTCATGCCGCCTTACTTCTTGTATCCTGATGAAGAGGTATCACCATTCAAATTTTCACTGTTTTATATTCCTTTGAGGAAATTCACGAGGCAGAGGACTTACTTTTTTTTTTTGCTTGCTATATAGTCTTATAAAGGGAGCACTCGGACATTCGCAGCCCTTCACAAGCAAATGTTAGAAATGAAGAAAATAGCCATATGCAGTTTTAAACAACGAGCACAGGCGACTCCATTCCTATGTGTACTCAAACCACAGGTAGATTTTTACAATCACGTCAGATACTGAACGAGGCAATGATGCGAAAAGTCGTGTCTGTATAGTTCATTTCATAACTTTAAAATGTTTGGAGGAGAAATCTTCTATATATACTATGTGCAATATACACGGCAAACTCATGATTGATTCCGACAATCGCTCTTTGCATTTCTTAGGCCGAGATACTCCATGAGGACGGACGGCAGATATTGCCCCCAGGATTTGTAGTCGTTCGCATCCCGTATAAAGATGACGTCCGACCAACGCCGAAACAAGCAGAAGAGCCAATAAGAGGTTTATCTCCTCATCTCTCTTACCATATTCTACGTCGCTTGCTGGATTTACGTTCTTACCAGTATTGACCTGTTCAACCCTTTACTTTATAAAGCTTCTGATGATTTCATAGACGCTTGTTTGCCTATTATTGAAGACTTAAGAATACGAGGAGGATATCGTCCCGATTCATTCAAGAATCCTGGTATGTTTAGCTCAATCTTCACGATTGATTACGTTTACAAGCGCCACTTACGTTAATACAGTTCACAATTTTTGGTCCATAGCTTTAGCGAAGTTTTACCATGTCTTGGCTGAAATTGCTCTTGGTGAAGAATTGGAGGTGCAACCAAAGGATGATACTGTTCCTAAACACAGAGGGATGCATAAAGTGCGTATATCGTTTAATACAGTGAGAGTACGGAAGGAGATACGTTGTAGATATTCTTTGTACACTTACATATTTCGGGTCATGCCACCATAACAGAGGATCGGCGAGAAGATCAAAGTCTTTAACAGCAAAATTGAAGAAGCGGTTGAATTGGAGGCCTCAACCACAACCGCGTCTACATCCAGCTCCGCGTCTAGGGCTACATCAAGAACAATATCCAGGTCTACATCTAACGCAAGCGACGCTAGCAATCTGCAAGAGTTATGGGAAGCCGGGAGGGTATGTTTTATATTTTTTTATT